GGACCTCTTCCTGGTCGCCAGCAGGCCAGGGAGGAAGCAAAACGGCGGAACACGCGGGCAGAGGACAGCCCAGACGCGTCTGGGCTGTCCGCTGCCCGCGTGTTCCGCCGCTTTGCTTCCTCTCCCTGGTCTGCTGGAGACCAGGGAGAGGACCCCGTTCGTAACTACGGATCCGACATAAGTCGGATCCGTGTAACTCGGGGACTGCCTGTATGTCTACACAGCAGGGCTAGAGTTGAATTAAGCTACAAAACTTCAGCTATGTCAATTGCTTAGCTTAAGTTGAAATAGCTTAATTCAGCTTTTGACACTGTCTATATAGCAGGAAGTCAAAGGAAGAACACTCTTCCTTCAATTTCCCTTACTCCTCATGAAATTAGGGTTACCATGAGTCAGAGTAGCTCAACATTATTCCCTAGCTCAACATTATTTTGAAATAAAGGCTTGTAGCATAGACATGCACTATGTCGTTTTGGAATAATGTCAGTTATTCCGAAATAATGCTGCTATGTAGACATACTTTCAGTGTCTCCCCTTGCCTAGAATACTACCATTTTGTTGATATAGCATTAAATATTTATAAATTGGTTCATAAGTATTTATATTATTATATAGACAACTTATTTTCCCGAAATAGGAACACAGCAGAAGTGTTCCAATGACTATAAGAAGGCCACCTCCCTGGAATTACGCTGCTGTCTGTAACCCATCCTAGGTCTCATAGTTCAAGCTAATCATTGACAGGGCTTTTACAATCACAAGCTTTTACTGAAGCTTTGATAAGACACTGCAACAGTTAGTGGCAAATGAAGGCAGACTGTGCAGCAGGGGACTCTAGGGAATGAATGGATTTTCTCCAGCACCAGTGAAAGAAATCTGACTTTCAACACACACACTATAGAAGCACACAATGTGTGGCCGAAGACTGACGAGATCTGTTGCTTTTTGGGCATTTATTTTCATAAGGACAGTTACTGGGCTTGCCGGGGAAGGAAGATCGGTGTGGAAAAGAGATCTTAACTTCAGTCCTGTGAATGGCACCCAGGTGTTTCTGTATGACACTTTCCCCAAAAGATTTCTTTGGGGAGTAGGCACTGGAGCATTTCAGGTGGAAGGTGGCTGGAAGAAGGATGGAAAGGGACCTTCAATATGGGACCACTTCATGCACTCAGATATCAGAGATGCTGCTAGCATAGATGACTCCAGCAACAGTTACACTTTTCTGGACAAAGATTTGTCAGCTCTGAATTTTTTGGGGGTTACTTTTTATCAATTTTCAGTTTCATGGCCAAGGCTCTTTCCTACAGGGGTGGTAACAAATGCCAATGAAAAAGGACTCCACTACTACAATACTCTCATTGACTCTCTAGTCCACAGACATATTGAGCCCATAGTAACTCTGTACCATTGGGACCTACCTTTGGCGCTGCAAGAAATATATGGGGGGTGGAAAAATGAATCGATAATTGATATCTTCAGTGACTATGCAACTTTTTGTTTCCAAATGTTTGGGGACCGTGTTAAGTACTGGATTACAATCCACAATCCTTATTTAGTTGCCTGGCACGGGTATGGAACAGGTATGCATGCACCTGGAGAAAGAGGGAAAATAGCAGCTGTCTATACTGTAGGACACAATCTGATCAAGGTACAGTACAACCAGGTTTAATCTTAACAGCTCCAATACGGTATGGAAAGTAGCAAGGGAAAAACTAGTATAATTGGTATAAGAAAGATTTAGGACTGTTGAAATGCTAATGAACAGTCTTCTTTTGTTTCTTTTAGTATTTATTTTACTAGTCACATCAGCCATTCAATAATCATATTGATAGTTACATAATCATGTAAAGCAACAGTTTACTAACTTTAGTTCAATTAATATTGCTTGCCATGCATTGTTATTCATTAGCTTCCTTTCATATACTTTCCATATAGTCCAATAACAGCTGTTGCTCACAACATGTTCTGATTATTGTTTTAGTTTAAATAAAAGTTTTCATATTTGTATATTTGACAATTGTACCAGAAACAGAGTTTATATATAAATAATTCATCCCAGCCTGGTAATATCACATTGAAAAGTAATTGATGACTACTGACCTAACATAATTACCAGTTGTATTTATTGTTTGAAGAGAAACATCCTCTGTCTATATTTAAGAATTTTAAAATAGCTCTGTATTAGCTTCAGCTCGTTAGTTTTATTTTATGTTATCTTTTTTAGCAGTAGTCTTCTCATGAATTGCACACCTTCTAGGCTCAAACCTACCCTGATTTCAGTGGATGCAGGATTGGACCTTACATTTTTGAGCTGTAATATACATCTTCATATAATTTTTTTCCACTGTTTATTGGGAAGGACAAAAGTTAAGAGAAAGAAGACAATGTACCAGGTTACAAGAAATTTAAGTGGGTCATATTTTTAAAATAAGTGTAGGAAAGGTCCATAATAGCTTCCAGCATAACCACAAAGGAAGTACCACATGTTGTGAGGTTATTTCAATGTAAAGAAATGCTAAAAAGGGCACCTGTCCACATGCCTGCTGTGCCCTTGTTAAAAACATGCATTCTAAGTGCAACAATTTGAGATTATACAAATTAATGTTAAGATCATATGTAGAATTTTTCATCACTAAATCTCAACATTTATAAAGGATGTCAGTATTATTATCCCCTTTTTAAAGACAATCCACAGAAATCTCCATCTAACAGTTTCCCACCATTACCATTACAGTTCACCCTAATGCTTACCATATATGTATTATATTATTCTGACAGGATTATCAGAAATGACTGGTGTTTTAGATTGCATCCGTTTTGTGTTTTCCAACTCAAGATACCTTAAAGAGGCTTGTTTTTCAAAGGAGTGCTTAGCATTTTCTGAAAATCAGAGTCTGTTAAGGTATCTCAAGTTGGGTACCTAAAACTATTATTCAGTTTTGAAAATGTGGGATCAGGACAAGGTGAATGTGATTTAGTGGTAGTGCCATCTTTGTCATCTGACTTTAAAAAAAAAGGTATACACACACAGACTACAATTAAGTGGAATTGGGAAAAATAAAATACTAAAATAAAGGAAATTAATTTAACCCCTGTCCAAAGACCTTCTATTTAAAGGAATGCACAAACTGGAAAATAGCACCAGTGTGTTGTTTAAATTCATTAGGGCCAGCCACAGTCTGCAATAGACAGTGAGGTACTACTGGATTTGAAGAAGGTTATCAGAATCTGGACCTAATACAATTTAGCATTGTTTGAAAAGCAATTCCAAATGTATTTGCTCTCAAAAGAATAAAATATAGAAATATAGATATCCATGTGTTGTGAGCACCTCTGAATTTTTGTCACAAATTTAAACTGGTGGATTTGGAGCCTGATCCAAAGTCCATTGGAGTAGATG